CCCTCTCCTCCCTTTTTCAAATAAACAGGTTTGATGTGGTTTGATGTAGATGTCCCAGTGCAAACCGTCCACATGTGGAAACTAAACTGCACCAACCGCCCACTCATGCAGAAGTTCTAAGGACTGTTTTTCAGGCACAACTGCTTTTAGAATGAGGTCCAATGCAGGACAGCCAATCAAAACAGAGCTCATTCACATATGTCAGTCTTAAAGGCACAGTAACAGCAACATCATGTTTAACTATGAGGGTGAAAAGTGGCTGGAAATGATCATGTAGAGATGAATTATGATCGTTTTTGGTACATAAAACTTCACAAATGTCATAAACAGATCTGAAAAAATAAGATGCAGGAAAGATGGATGATACGTGCCCTTTAAATCGTGCCTGTCATCACTAATCTGACTGCCGACCATCTTTTAGTGTAAATGTGAATCTGAACTGTGGTGATGCTCCATCACAGGCTGCACTGTGATCAGTGAGGAAGTGGAGAAGATCTGCTGAAGCTGTCTGTGCTCTGAACGTGAGGAGGAGCTCCATCGTTCTGGAACACCTCACATCTTTCACGTATGATCCTAAAACAGGCCTAAAGAACATGAGCTGCGTTCCTGTAAGGTTCCTCAACAGAATTTGAGGCGTGTATTTTGCGAGAACGTATTTTCCCTCATGTTTCTGACTGCGTTCTATAAACAGTGTGTCTCCTCACAGCTGGGTGGTCCTGTGTGTCCTCATGCGGCGGTGATTCAGGGTTAAAGTGGAGCTCGGAGAGCGTTTACTGACGGAGCTGATCTGCAGTAACGTTACTGTTATAGAGGCTGAAACGCTGCAGGAGCTTCTGTCTGATCTGGGCGCCACTGAAAAGAAGACACGTCTCATTAGAGGTACCAGCGCGTCTAATCTCTCTCAGAGACGCTCCCGCGACCTCGGCTGCAGCGCGTCTGCACTTAAAATAGAAAAGTGATGAGTCGTTTCCTCTAATCAGAGCTGATCACTGAGCGCCGGGCTCTGATTTTATACCCTTCTGTCCCCAAATAACTCTTTAACTCTCCATACGAGCCGCAATTCTCTGAAATACTGCAAACGCTGTTCCTGGAAAAACGAACAGTCAGATATTATTAAAGGGGAACTCCACTGTTTTTTCAAAATTCTCCCATAGTTCAGTGTGTGAGGTGTAAACAGAGAGATTCAGAGTGGTTTGGTGTGAAATGGTTCAGATTTCTATACAGTGGTTTTTGATCTGCAAAAAATCAGATTTCATGTGATTTTTGCTGTGCAGACTATCAGAAATCAATCTGGATACAATCTGGATCTGACAGAAATCAGATGTGGGCTGTAAGTCTGAACACGGCCTTGGACTCCACTGTATTCTAAGTATTGTCTGACTTTGTAGCTGGTCTATTTCCTCTGAGCTCCAGAGTGACAACACATCGGCTCAGAGAGCTCTAAAGGGGAGAGATCCAAGTGAAAGTTCTGGAAAATCCAGAAGAAAATATAAGTGCTGTAGAAATTATGTGGTGACCGTACAGTGAAGGTCAGAAATGTTTTCGCTGTCTCCCTGCAGGGGCCGTGCAGGAGGACGGAGAGCTTGTGGATAATTCAGCAGCTCTTCAGTCTTGCGAAGTCACTCTGGTTTTCAGGGTCAGAGCAGAAATAAATGCCGCTCAGTCCAGCACGGCCGGTTAGAGCCACCGATGAAAGCTGCGTCCTGCTGCTCTCAGAAGAGACATGAGCAGTGAAACAGCGGGAGGAAAATCGCTCTGAGCAGCAGCCTGACCTTCACTCTGATGGGCCTGATACAAAACCAATCAATCACACGGTTTCAAATATCTCCTAACAGCTGGACGCTGCAGCACGTCTTTTAGTCCCGGAGCCCAAAGAATCAGCCAAACTCCTTCAGGCATGTTTAAAGGGCCACATCCCGGAAAACATCACGAACGTCATGAAATCAACACATTTACAAATATCTGACCAGTCAAAGTCAGAGGCTCCGGAGCGATGGAGCAAGTGGTGCACCTCCCTCTCCACCCCCACCTCCATCCCCCCATCCACCCTGGGTTATTAGAGGACATTCACCTCTGCTCCCCCACCTTTTTAAGTGCACTCAAACAATCCTACAATGCACTGCAACAACTAATGTACAGCTGATATACCCTAGCAGAGAGGGATACCCATAATGCACTGTGTTGTTTGTTTTGAAGATTCAAGCCAAATCTATACTCACATACAGAATCTATGTATACACAACAGAATCTGCTGCCACAGTAATGAGACTAAAGAGCAGGCAGGACTAAGACTAGTCTTGGGCTAAACTGTAAAATCTGTACTAATTTACCACTGAGAACCTTTAATTTAGGGTTCTGCTTAATCTGGGCCTGGCCCAGTGTAAATAATACAAATGTGAAATATTACTGTTACAGTCTGGATTATTTTCACTGATAGAAACACTGAGAGCTTTAGAACATCAAGGATGAGGTTCATAGTAATTGTAATAGTTCTAATAAAGTGACATCCAGAGTGAAACTGGCTGGACTGGCACTTTCATATGAATGTTTATTGATGTGCATTCTGCCTGTAAATCTCAATCTAATAAATAATGCACAGAATAAAGTTCAAATAAAAATATCCTGAAAGACGCGTTTTTCAAAAGTGAAGATCAAATCTCGACACAGAAAACCTGACAAATTTAACTGTAAGTGAATCATTACAGTGTATTATTTTTCATTTAATAAGTTGTTGATCCCAAAATGCTAAACATATATAACGTCTTTTGTTTGTTAAACAGTTTTTTAATATTTAAATCCTTATTGTGTTTATTATTGCATATATAATTACAACAAAAAATTTAAATACAGCAAGTAATTCCAGATCATTGAGCAGTAGAGTGTATCTGGACGCTGGGCAGCAGCTGGCCTGAGCAGCTCCAGACCGAACCTGAACCAGAATAATCGGATCAATCACAGTGCAATCAGCTTTCCATTCAGCGCTGTATAAACGGTTCTGGGTCTCTGTTCAGGACTGTAATCTTCTCACATTTCTCTGGACGATTCAAACACAGACCAGCACGGCCGTCTGGGTCCAGAGCACAATGCGGCAGCAGCTCTCAGCGGACAAATAAACGTGACTGGACTGCAGAATCTATTTCTTCAGCCTGAGTGGAGCAGAAGGGTCAGAATGGTGAGGAGCACCGAGTTCTGGAGGAGATCAGCAGCTTAAAGGGGAGCTCCACCGATTTTTCCAAATTTCTGCCTAATTAAATAATTAAGAGGTAAACAGAATCGTTTGGTGTGAAACGCTCCATTCTAGATAAACTTACCGAGTCAGAACTGTTCACAGTGGTGGTGATAGGAACAGACGTCCACCTCTAAAAGCTCCCTCACAGAAAGTTCCTACATGAAATGGTTATGAATTCACTGCCTGATGACTGAGACACTGTTTTATGATAGTTTCGTGTTAAGGATTTGGCCTAGAATGTATATTTTTAAAAGCCATCGATGGCAGAGGGGCACATGTATGATGTTGTGAGGCAAAACAGCCCCCAAGGAAAACATATTTTTCCACATTTACTACTATTTTACCATCATCAACAACTCATATAAATATCAGAACACGTGTAGGATAGTAAATAGTAAAAATGTCTATTTTTGCGTTGTAGACATTGTGACCCCTGGTTCCCATCACCACCACTGTAAAGACATCTGACTCTGTAAGTATCTCTACAATGAATTATTTTACATCAAACCACTCCGAATGACTTTTTTAACGTCTTAATCACTGAATTATGCGGACATTTTGTAAAATCAGTGGAATTTCCTTTTGAATTAAAGGTCTCGTCAGATCTGCTTTCTTTGGTTTTGCCTGATCTGTAGACGATGGTCTCCCAACATACACTGGCAGATCTGAGCTAATTGGTGGGTACAAGCTTCCATTAACACTACATTAACTACATTAGCCTCTAAAGGCATTAGCCAGCTAAAGACACCAAACACGTCTCGGCTCATCGGCTACATCTGAGATGGAGGGGGGACGTTAACTTTTATCAAACTATGACTGTAAGTCTTCTAAACAGGCTGCAAACAAAGTAAGCACTGACAAACTTTTAGTAAAAGAAGGATGGAGTAAAAGAAGAAGGCAGAAAATAAAGAGATGTCAATCTGAAGAACAGTGTCACCATGCAGAGAACCATTTAATCATGCAAATGGCTCTGTGACTGTTCACGATTCTATATAGAATCATTTTCTTTACTAAAGAACCCTTGAAGAGCCTTTAATAGTGTAGACAAGTGCAGAGTGGCAGTGGCTCACTGGCTCCACCCTGTGGCCAAACGGAAGGAAGGAAAACTGAGTGAGAAATGAATAAACCGCTGAAAGTCTAATAGTGACAGCTTCACCAAAACGAAACCGTCTTCAGTTCTGCACCATGAACTTCAGACAGACTGAAGCTGAGTGTCCAACACTGATCAATTAAGAACCCTGTTACCTGCCCGTTTAGGGCCTTTTCACACTTGTCCTGAATACCTGAGTCACACCCAGGACCGGGCCCATTTCGGGGAGAAGCTCATTATCACTGGTTTCACACACAAGAACTTCATCTGAATCATGGATCGAATGCGTAACTCCATACATCACTTTTCTGCTTGCAGGGTTGGGGAGTGGTTGTTACTAGCTTCATCTGTTTGCTGCCTTTATTTCTTTAGGGAAAGAACATCTTTTTGGATACACAGCATTTCACCAGGCAGGAGAACACCTGCAAAAGGGAGCCGCCTTTGTATGAGAAGGTCTTTAACTGTGCAGGCACCACGTTACAAAATGAGCCAATCATGCAGCCCCACATGCGGCGTCGGGAGCCAGGAGTTCCCCCAGACCACTGATTTCACTAGGACCAGAGACCGGTTCTCTGTTCCACTCCCAGGCTCCAAAACAGCCTTCATACTTGACCAAACATACCGAACTCACAGAGCAAGAGGACCTGGATCTGGAAAAAAGCTGTGGTGTAAAGACGCCAATAAGGAGCGTAAAATCTCTCATATGTTTTAATCAAGCTTTGATGATCATTAAAAACAGATTCTAGAAGTACAAAAGCCGTTTACTGCAGCTGCTTTACAGACACTGTTGTGAATAATGCCGGTTTTCCTGCCAAACGTCTGGAGCAGCAGAGTGAAGGTCTCAGTGCTGAATGCAGAATTAAAGCTGTGAATACTTCTTACACAAAAATATCAGAGACGCGTTGAGCACCTCAGAAATAAATACAGTCCATCTGCCACACTGATCCACAGGTGTCCCTTGTAGAAACCGGTTTCTCTGCGGTTCCTCAGTAATAATAAACCCCAAACACAGCAGCCACGCAGAACAGGCTGTCCTGCAGGAGAACACAGAGAGACCTGTGGCTGAAAAAAGAACATGTGAAGATGACGTGTCTGTCTGACATTTACAGGTTTTTCCTTACGTTCATGTAAACGTCTTTGGCGCAGCTGTCTGTGTCCGCGTCCCAGAAACACCGAGACGCCATCCTACAGAGAGAGGAGGACTTACTGCTGTTACAGAGAGCAAAACCAACACAAGAGGAAAAACAGAGCAGCAGATTCCACTGAGCTCACTGAGCTCAGATACACTATCACTGATATTTACTCCACTGTTTAAAAACACATAATACAAATAAAAACAACAACTCGTTAGAACTGCTTCTGTTCAGAGCTGCAGCTGGATTTACAATAAAGCAAGTTTTCAATTTATTTTACTGAAATTACTGATTAGATCAAACACTACAGTAATGAAGCATAAGTTAGTTGGTGAGGGAGTGAGGAAGTGAATAATGGAAAGAGTGAGTGAGAGAGTGAATGAGTGAACGAGAGAGGGAGTGAATGAGGGAGGAGCAGGAGTGAGTGAGGGAGTGACCGAGGGAGGGAGGGAAAGTGAATGAGTGAGAAAGAGTGAATACATGAGTGACTGAGGGAGGAAGTGAGGGAAGGAGTGAGGCAGTGAGCAAGGGAGTGAGGAAGTGAACAGGTGAACAAGGGACAGAGTGAGTGAGGTAGTGAGTAAGTGAGGGTGGCAGTGAGTGAATATGAGAAATAAGTGAGTGAGCGGAGAATAAGAGAAGATTTATTAGGTTCTTCACATGTGAAGCAGAAATGTGTGTGTGTGTGTGTGTGTGTGTGTGTGTCGTACTGTACTCCTTCTCCTCGCTGTTCTCCAATAACCACCTGCACAACCAGCTTATATCGATCCAGCCCCAACTCTACACACACACACAGAGAGAAAGAGAGAGAGAGAGAGAGAGAGAGCATCACTCATACACAGCCATCATGTACTGTAGGTGCTGCTGGGAGGAGCAGTGAAGTTCAGGTTTTGGGTTTAGGTTTAAGTTTAAAAGCCTTTCAGCTTCACTGACACAGTAATAACTGCTTTATAATCTTCTTGTCTGTGCAGTGAGATCAGTTCACTGCACTGAAAACAGACATTATTCATATGACTGACGACACAAACACCACAGAAAAACGACCAGAGGGACCACCGTCAGAACGTTTTTCCTCGTCCTGTAAAGTTACCTTTTTAGAGATATACGGTTTTGTTCAGACAGCAGCGCTATATATATATATATATATATATATATATATATATATATATATATATATATATATATTCTCTGTAATCCAGATAGATTATGCAGAAAGGAATTCTCCATTAAGGGCAGCGATATTCACAACTAATTTACATAGTTAATAATGAACTAATTCATGTTTGATTAATGACTATTTTTTATTTAGGTTTTATGTTTAACCCTTAGGACCCGGAGAAAACGGTAGGTCAGAATCTCAGTCCTAAACGGTCAGAAGGCTGTCCCTGATTGTTTAGAAGCTCAGCTCTGATTGGCCACAAGGTCTTTCCTGATTGGTCAGAAGCTCAGAAACTGGTCTAAGAATTCTGAACTAACCTTAAACCTGGATAATCAATAAGTCTTAATAAGACAGGCTGGTCTCACAAAGCTAGTCCGGGTGTAAGTTTGCTTCTTGATCAGGTCTAAGTTTAAGCTCAGGTTCAGGTAAACTGTCCCACCTTTGAGTCGGTCAGTGATGCGGGCGCTGAGTGTCCGTGCGATGTCCGCACTGCGCTCTGAGTCGTAGGTCTCTCCGGTCAGCTGCTCCCTCACCAGCTCCCGGATACAGCCGGACACCACGGCCGGCCGGAACCTCAACACACACAAACACAGTTAGCACGGTTTATTAAGTGTTTATAGTTCTGCGTGATAAACCTGTTGTTATCGAAAACAGCCACGCTAGCCATGTTCCACCACTGAGAACTGCTTGGGTTCCTCTGCTTGAGAACATGGGTTTGGTTCCTGTGATCTTCTAGATGGAGAACCATTCACAGCAAATGCCACCAATGCTGTGCACAAGGACATGTAGCTACAGAGAACTGTTAAGTTCTGGCTTAAATAAATCATAAAGAAGGAAGAAACTGGCTTTTTAATCGGAATTTCCCGTTCCACCTTAAATGATCAGCTGCTGCCCATTTAAGGTGGAACGGGAAATTCCGATTAAAAAGCTGGTGAACTTCAGCTTTGCCTTAGCTGTAGCTTTACTACAGCATGGAAATACTTATAAAATCACTTCACTGTTTACCGCACATCAGTAAGTTAACGTTAACCCAGCTTTGCGGCTTTTAGAGACCGGAGTTTAATCAGAAACGGAGTTAGAGCAGTTTAGCTAGCGCAGTTTAGCTAGCGCTGTTAGCCGCTGTGCTAAAAACAGACACTGAACGGCTCAAACGGCGCCTTTAAGTCCTTTATCTGCTCATATAAACACCCCCAGCCCCTCCAGCCTCGCTGGGCCCCGCCTGTGCAGGTGTTCGGTGTGAAGGTGAGTGTTACCGGTGCTGCTGACTCGGTCTGATGCTGTGTGCGTTCGCCGCTACCTCCATTACCGAACACAGCCACGGTTACCATAACAACGCCCGCTGCGTGACGTCACCCTGATCACCAATCAGCAGCGCGCCCCGTCCCGTCTGACCAATGAAACTCCAGCTTACTCTTTATTTTATTTTATCAATATTTTTATTTGTTGTAACTTTTCTACGTTTTATTTTTTCAAGATATTAAAACTCTTTGTTGTTTTTATTTTCAAGATTAAATAAAACAATCCCAGATTTAAAACAATATCCTGTTTGAACTTCCTGTTTGAATAGATAACATGTTTTATTTCATTTATGTAGACTTTTGTACATATTTAAAGATTACTTGTTGATATAATGTATGTATATGTATGTATGTATACTTATATATTGCCCTTTGTAATGTATAAAAATTTCACAATGAACAGACCAACATAAATAATCCTAAATTACAATATAAATATAAATATAAATATAAAATATTCATCCATTCACTTCCATTAAAAGTAAAGAAGGTTTTTCCTCGTCCTGTAAATTTACCTTTTTAGAGATACAAGATTTTGTTCAGACAGCAGCGATATATATATATATATATATATATATATATATATATATATATATATATATATATGTATATATATCATCTGTAATCCAGCTACATTATGCAGAAATTTTGAAATATCAGTGGAATTCTCCTTTAAGGGCAGTGATATTCATAACTAATTTACATAGTTAGTAATGAAGGACCTGGAGAAAGTCACTTCTAGCCTTCCTAACTTCAGGGCTTTCAGTTTACATTGATTTTGAGTATTAAAAATATCTGATATTAAATATGCAACTCAATTTGTAATAAAAAATAAAGCCTGCATTGCTGTGTATCAGAGTTTTAGCACTGAGCCTGAATACTAGAGGACAGAAAATCAATAAAAAAACATGTCCGCCTTATGCTAATTGTTTATTTTTACTCATAATAACTAATAGAATGAATCACCATCAAAATTATGAATCACCATCAATTTATTTTATTGCACTTTCAGCTCACAGACACTCCAGACTAACAGTTTCTGAAAAGATAACTACAACTGGACTTGTTTTCGAGATCTCTATAATTAAAAAATACAAAATTTAGCAGGTACGTTTTTGATCAGAAATTCATAAAGATATCAAATCTCTCTTAGCATTTACATGTCAAACAATGGCATATCTGAGTAGGGTCTCCTGAAAATAACAACATATGGCACGTGTGACTGTCTCATGGAAATACTTTATAATTGGAATTGTAATGGACCCAAAAATACCAAGAATATTCCCCAAATTTTTAGGTTTCTAAGGGTTCCATCATCCAGGAGTTGAAATGCATTGTTGGTTTATAGTAAGATGAACTTTCTTCTTCACCATCAGTGGCAAATATTACAGAGAAACACTGAGAAGAAGGTCACAGGTGTCAGTTACACTGAGAGTGACGAGCTCTGCTGATGCTACTCCTCATACTGAAGCTAATGCGCTTCACTCGGTACTGCTTTAGACTGATTTAAACGAATGGAACCATTTTGGGTTTCCATGGATCAGAACCGATATCAAACACATATCTCAATCTAGATTTCCTAAATGAAGCTCACAGCTCAACTGTGAGAGGGTGTAATGTTCTGAAAGTCCAGGGTGATGCTGTATATGAATAAGGTTTTAATGATTTTATCTGGAGACCTGCTGTAAAAACCAGCTTGTGTCTCATCGTTCTGACTAAACAGAAACACCTGGTCAACTGTTTAAACACCAGCTGATTAAACGAGCAGGTGAATCAGCTGAGCTCCTGCGCTCCAGCAGGCCTCTGTGAATAAGACCAGACAGCCCTGATCTAATTGATCTATTAACAGCCCTGATCTATTAATCTCAGCATTGTGTTTATTTTTTATTATTTTTATTGCTTGGGAAACAAATGAGATGCTGTTAAATCACTGGAATATAAAGATTTTTATTTTTTTATCTTAAAACTTCCCCAGAACAGAGTAGATTTGGAGCTGCTGTTAAGCTTTCAACCAGCAGGTGTCAGTGATAAGCTCTAGTTTTAAAAGCTTCAGCGATGTAAAGTTGAAAGCTTCACTAATGTAATGTAACCTAAGAGCAAGAAACCTTGGGCGGAACCGAGACTCAGAAGGGAACCCGTCCTCCTCTGGACCAGACCGGACAGCTAACAATAGCACAAGAGCAACCTGAGCAGAGAATAAGGCTTGACCGTTAGAATAAGATACAGAAAAGGGGAAACAGGTAAATCAGTGGCTGTGAGTCTGCGCAGAAGCAGCATCGAGAGGGTCGGTTCAAAAAAACGAATATCAAACAGCAAAACTCTGCATAAACTTCGTTTGAGGTGGATTTTTTCCAGTAAAAGAAATACAATAGTGTGATGGAAACGAATATAAGTTAATGATCTGACTAAAACGCGGACATTTAATTCGAGTAGCTTTAAGTTAAGACACTCTTCGCTTTTTCACACTGCAGTTTTACAGCGAATCACGCTTCAATTCAGCACCTGCAGTTTTAGCTGAGGAGCTACTCGACAGCGTTGGCTAGCAGATCAGCCTAGCTAATAAAATAATCAGTCAGCCCTGTTTTAAACAGAACCAGGTTCTTACTCCGTCTGTAATGTTACTGGTTCCGTTCATAGTCGCTCTTTCAAATTCAAACATTAACGGAAAACCTAACGGATGAGCGCGAGCTGCGGCTAACAGCTAACGTTAGCTGAGCTGCTAAAGCTGAGGCGAGCAGTTCAGTTCTTTCAGTTGTTAATCTCACGATCGATTTCACTACAGATTCACATCAGTGCACTATTACGGGTCTGATCATTATTAGATGATCAATATCCGCTCTCCCCCTAACCCTGCCGTCAGGCAGCTTTCTAGTTTGTGAATTTAGCCCGGCAGGCTAGCTGGAGTTAGCCTAGCAGAGGACATTCTGAGGTAAATTAGCTGGAATTGACGGTAATTTACGTTATTTTTCATCCGTGTGTTTGAAGCAGATTACAGCCAGTCTCGGGTAATCTGAGTGGCTGCCCTGCTGAAAAAGTTAGGGAAACCATTAAAAGGTTCTGCTGGTTCCTGGTGGTGCCCAGTAGTGAGTAATGGTGCTCTGAGTTTTCCTGATGGGTTGGTATCACAGTATAAGGAGTTCTGATTTCAGATGCACTTGATGGTTTCCTAATGGGGTATAAAGGTGTCCTACAGGAAACTGTTGGTCTCTAATGATAACCATTAAACCACCAGGTTTTATTCTTAGTCGTTATAATGGTTTTTTTTTCAGCGGGGTGTTAAATCTACCGCAGCTGCTAACAGCTAAATAAACTAACTGACCTAAAGTAACGTAGCAGAGTTTGCTGAAATGAATGGAGGACCAGGCCTGTCACAGTTATTTGAAATGATTTATGTCGACTGCTGTCATTTTTCCACATCATATTTCACAATAAGATTAAACCACAACAGGGCGAGTTGTTTTTGGAGACACATCGTGGTGTTTTATGAAAACTAAACCTAAATTCCTTCTTCTAACTGTAACATGTTTGGAGGGGAAACACAAAATATTCGGTTATTTATCAGCTGGGTAGCTAATGCTAACGTTTTAGCGTGCATGCTAGCAGAACGAGAATTGTTTTTGTATTTGCTTATATTTTCACTCTCAAGAAAAAGTATAAGTTTTGCTGGAATACACACGATTCTGTGTAACCGAGGCGTTTGTGTGCGTGAGTGTTTTCTGCACTCAGCAGTTTAGTTTACCAACTTAACAACAATAGCAGTGTTAGCTACCGAGCTAACAAGGCAAGCTACCCCGAGACAAAGCAAGACAGATGAGCCAATTCAGACACTTTCGGCTTGTGTTTTAATAGATGCAACTAATAAACAAGACAAGACAATTAAATTCTATCTGGGAATTGTGAGAAATGTAGTGTTCCGAGTACTGAAAGGGTTCGCTCTGTGTCACTGTGTAGACAAGAACTACTAAAATTCTACTATTATTCCGTCTCTGAAGTGCACAAAACACAGTAATCACATGTATTCAGATAATTCTGAAAGCATTTGATTACAGTACAGCTAGTCCAGTATAACCTATATAGACTGTGTGTACACTGTGTATGAATGTGTGTGTACACGTTTTCCTGTCTGTGTGCAAAGGTGTTGATATACACATACTGTTTATAGATGAGACTGACAGATGTCAATAAATGAATAATCAGAGTAGATTAGTCAGCATTCGTTGAAGCTTTAGCTCTTCCAGTGAATCAGTTGGAACTTTATACATTAAATTTAGCTTCCCCAGTTTTTACATTGACTACTGAAATAGTCACCACTCATTAGTATTGATCTCTCTCTGGTGTAAAAGTGATGTTTTATCAGTGAGGCCTTTAATTAGTCTAAATGAAATGTGCAGCTAATGTAAAGTTAATCTGCTCTGTTTGTAACTCAAACCTGCGTTTCGCTCTGATCTACATGAGATAAAAATAGCCTCTCCTGCATGATATCTTGCAGAGCGGCAGCTCTAACTGCAGCAGAAGTGTTGCTGAAGAGGCAGTTTTATGCAGTGGAGGTGATTTAGAGGTCAGACAAGAGCTGTAAGTAACACCACCTTCATCAAAACTCCTCTGTAGAGCTGTTTTATTCACCTCTTATGTATACCGATGCTGTCAGTATCGATTATTCAGTGATCGATTAATGTATCAATTATTTTGGCACATAATTGTGTAATCTCAGAGTTTTAAAAAAGTCCAGACAGTAAAAAAAAAGACTTATAACAACAACAAACCACAGAGCCTTCAAAAACATGTCACTGGAAAAAGATAAAGTAGTCGACTCTTAAGAAGACTCAGTAATAAAAAAAGGCTGTGTTAAAAACGATATGAGTAAGCGTCTTGATGAGGCTCTGTTTGCTGTAAGAGCAGCAGCAGAATTTAAAATATTCACTATTATCACACAAACTGGAGGCTAATCAGTGCTCAGTCACACAGATGGTACATATTATCTAATTGCGTTTGAGTAATCATGGCTGCACTGCTTTA